TATTCCTCTCTAAGTTGTCTATTCTCGTTAGCATTTCATCAAATCTTTTTTCAAGGTTCTTAGTTTCTTTGCATTGGGTTAGAACACGTTCTTTTAGCTCACAGAAGTTTCTTATTACCCACCTTCTGAAGCCTGATTCTGTCAATTCATCACACTCATTCTCCATCCAGCCTTGTTCCCTTGCTGGTGAGGAGTTGTGATCCCTTGTAGGAGGAGAGGTGTTCTGGTTTTGGGTGCTTTCATCCTTTTTGTGCTGGTTTCTTCCCATCTCTGTGGATTTATCCACCTGTCGTCTTTGAAGTTGTTGACTTTCAGATGGGGTCTCTGGGTGGACGTCCAGTTTGTTGATGATGAAGTTGTTTCTTTCTGTTTCTTAGTTTTCCTTCTAACAGTCTGGCTCCTCTGCTGTAGGACTGCTGAGGTCCACTCCAGGCCCTGCTTGCCTGGGGATCACCTGCAGTGGCTGCAGGACAGTAAGGGTTGCTGCCAGTTTCTTCTTCTGCTATTTTTGTCCCAGAAGGATACCCACCAAATGTCAGTCTGAGCTCTCCTTTATGAGGTGACTCTTTGGATATATGGGGGTCAGGGAGTTGCTTGAGGAGACAGTCTGTCCTTTATAGGAGCTCAAGTGCTGAGCTGTGATCTCCATTGTTCATTTAGAGCTGCTGGGCAGGAACGTTTAAGTCTGCTGCAGCAGAACTCATAAACCCATACTCATAAATAATCAAGCAAATCAACTTTCTAATTCAGGGATCAACAGCCTTGGTTTGTTAACTTTTTTGTTTGCATCCTTTATTTTTAATATTCATAATGTCGTGTGCTTAAAAGTGGGCTTTGAAGTGTGTGCTGCTTTCACCTTTCATCTTTCTCCCCTGCCCTCCAGTCTTTAAACATTAGATGCTACTTACTCAGCTACCCAGTAGAGCTTGAAGCTGGCTTTTCTGAGAAGATGGTATGGTGTAACACTAAAGTAGGTGGTTTGTGTGTGTTCTGATTACCTGGTTATAATAGATATGCACATCAAAGCCTTTACCTGTATCTTCCTGTATTCTGTATCAGATTGCAAAGATGGAATGTTACTATTTTATCAGCAAGGTATTAAAATGCATTTATAAATTCAAAAAAGAAAACCACTTTGTCAAGTCTGTTTTCCTTTCCCAAGGAATAATTCCTTTTGTCTACCTAACATTGACTTGTGTCTTAGACTGACACTGTTTTAGGCTTTTCACTAGGCACATTATGAAGGTACCAACAAGTTAATAACATCACCTACTCTCCACTAATAGTCGCTATGCTAAGAGAAGTGAATAATCTTTCTTTGGTAGAAAATAGGCTGAGATATAAGGTGATATTGCTATTGACCTGAAAATATGATAGAATTTATGGTTACCTATTGATTATTCCTCCATGTCTGATAAGTGAATCTGCTTCTACCATTAAAAAAACAAAAATCCACTGCGGTAACCAGTCCCAGCTGCCTGCCTTGTCAGGCAAGGAACTCAGAACCCAAACTGCTTCTGTGACCTTGACCTTTTCCAAGGATGTAGGCTGGTGCTCATGTCTGACCTCAGCTCTGGACTTCATGGGTTCCAAGGCGAAGGGATGGCTTTCCTGTTAGACTCACACCCCCACTGTCCAAGACAGCAGTCATTCATTAGGTGGGGCTTTTGAGCCCCTGACAGGTGGCTAGTCCAGGTTAAGATGTTCTGCAAAATGTAAATGGTGGATTTCAAAGACTTAATACTAAAAAGAAGAATGGATTTTTTTATATTGACTGCCTGTTAAAATGATAATATTTTAGATATGCTGTGTTAAGTGAAATATTAAAATTAATTTCATCTGGAAAAAAAAGAAATAAAAAAAGCCATAAAGCAATGTGTTTTTTAAAATCACTTTGAGTTTATAAATAAAAAAAAGTGAATAAGTCAAAAAAGAACAAATATTTTATTATTACTTGAGCACAAGTGTAACCTAAATATTTCTATATTAAAGCTTAATGTGCTTTCTTAAAGAATGCCAAAAGTGTAATAAGGTCATAATTGCATTTATCATGGACACTAAAAATGTACACATTTTAGTTAATGTGCATTAAATTGTAACAAGGCTTCTAGCAATTGTAGATTTAGTTTGATGCTCCCCAAAGTGCATGAGACACATGCTAAAATTACAAATTAAAATTTTGGGTCAGACTTTGCAAAAATAAAAAATAAAAAATAAATTATTATTGAACTAACAGTGCTTACAGACTAGAACTTAACAGAACAATTCTAGGACAGAAGATCTGATTATTTACTTTGTTTATTGTCTATAGGCCTTTAAAAAATTTTTTTTTTTTTTCAATTAAAAAAAAAATTTTTTTTTTTTTTTTTTTTTTTTTTTTTTTTTTTTTTTTTTTTTTTTTTTTTTTTTTGCAGCAGTTGTTTTTTTTTTTTTCAAGCCAGCTGTGCTTTATTGACAGCGCGCCACTCAGGCCTTGACCGCGTACTTTCGCAGCGGGTACAGCCGCTCCTTCTGCTGCTGCTTCTTGGTCTTCAGGCTCTCTTCGTGCTTGTGGAGCCGGTGGCACATGGCATGCGTCTTCTTCCGCCGCAGGTCCAGGGGCTTGTAGTTCTTGCCCCCTTTTTTGTGTATGTGAATGTAAAACATTTAATTTAAAAATGTTGACATTACAACATATAAAAATAGCTATTGTAAATGCACATAGTATATTCTATAGCTGCCAGGTTTACTTTTTTTTTTTTTTTTAAAGGAAACTGTAAGTTACACTGTGGTTAAGACTTGTATCTTCACCCTTAAAAAAGCCCACATTCTATCACAGTGATGTACGGTCAGACTTAGCCCCAATTGTTAAACACTTGGATCAAGTCATAACCAGTTTTATTTTGAAAGGACCCTGTACACAATTATCAATTCTAGTACCTTAATAGCTACCCAACAAGTCATTAACATACAGAAACATGCTCCAACTATTCTTTGATCCCGACTCTGTGTGTGTGTGAGCACACGTGTCTGTGTTTGTGTGTGCATAGTTCTGTGGTTTTAGACATGCTTTCTTGTAGTGCTTCTGCAAAAAATGAAAAAGGGACTTATTTTGCATTCTCAATGGTTTTTTTAAGGGAATTAGGCATAACAGATTTCTAGGTTGGGTAGGTCAACTGCATTCTCTTTTGTTTGCAAATTGGTCAACAAAATTTGCAAAGTGATTTCAGAAGAGAGCAGCTCTGAGGAATGTGGAAAATCATAATTACTGCCTGGATCATTGATTGATTGTGACCAATAGTAGAAGGCTGCCTGTTACATAGAGAGGCTCCTTCTGTCCAAATGAATTCCTGTATACTATTCTATAATAAAAGGGAGGAATATATTCTGCTGGAAGCCCATGAACCATCGGTGAGATTCTGATACAACATGAGAGTTGTTTCCAAGGAGTGAGTGTGGCTTAATTACTGGACTCACTTAGCACAGGAAAGTGGAAAACAAAATGCCAGGCCTCTGCTCTGCAAGAACAAAACTGCTATTGCTGCAGTATCTGATACCAGACATCCACATATCCACAAGAAGTGCCTTTTAGGTCTATGATGAGAGTATGTCTACATTCCTCACTTCCCAGAAAGGGGAGAGGGATGGCTTAAAAAGCATGTAGATGGTGGAGAAATGGGTGGAGGGAGAGGAACAGCCATTAACATTGTACCATGTTTCATAAGCTTGATTTCAGCAGCCATATGGAAGCCAAATTAATACAGAACTCAAAAAAATATATTTTTTTACAAATTTTATATTAATTTTATTTAAGTATACATATAATACTTTCATCTCATAATTTTAAAGATGCATAATTGCTTATACATATCATGTTTCAATCTAGTTTATTAATTATCATTAATCCTTTTGGTCCCTGAATCTGCCTTTGCTTCCTCTTCTAGGGCTTGATGCAGAATATAACTGCCCATGGAGGGCAAGGGGCAAGAAAGTAAGGGTCCCAGGGAGACTCAGTTTCAGTTATCCTTGATGATGCTGAGAGGCATTCAGCACCAGGAACATGTTGTTCAAACATAAATGAGAAACTAAACTATCTGGACAATCTTCATGAAGGTTTTCCACACAAAGTGCATTTCATATCTCTATAGACTTAACTACTAACAAGCTACAACCAAGGAACTGAACTACTACTGAATCCTCGGAGGTATCATCAATATCCAGCTTCCAGTTTCCACCTCTAAAATATTTCTCCATCGTGCTCCTAGATTTCCAGGTGCCAACATTTATAGTAGGTATGATTTTCTGGGGCTTCAGCCATTTGGACAAAGCATTTCATTTCCAGGTAGCTGCTGTGTTCACTGTAAGGAATTCCATATACTGAAATGTTTCCTTTGATCTGGGGAATAACATCTGCTATAGTAGTGAACTTGTTAGAGTGTGTCCATCCTGTAGGTCTAAATGCCAAAATCTGATTATATTTCCCACCATATTTCTTCAAATGACTCTGTAAGCCCTTGAAATTAATTTGCATCATTGGGAGAAGGTGAACCAATGAACTGCACATGTTTGTAGTGATGAGTGAATTAATTTCTGGTATATTGAGGCACTGTAGTGTTTTATATTTTTCTTGGGACATGCCCATTTTTGAACCTAAAACATCAGCAATGGCTAGGAAGACTCTCTTTTCCAACACAGTAAGTACCACAGACAACAAGAGCACGTGGGTTTAGAGTTACAACCTCAAAGGCAGTGTTGATGGCAAACTGGATAACCTCTTGATGAGATGGAAAGGTGTATTCTGGGCTAAAATATGTGGTATCTAAGTACAGCACATGGACTTTCCGGTTCGCAAGAAGAGAATGCTCCATGCTAGGATCTGCTCTGAAGTCTCCCATGTGTAATATGACAGTACCATTAGGAAGACAGAAGAGGATCATGACAGCACCTGGACAGTGATTGGCATGAAGCAAAACAACTTTGACACCATTCATGATACATTTGGTGTCCAGTGGCAATGGATGGATATATTGTTCTTGCACATGAAGCTTGTTCTTCAACAAATTGCCAGTTATCTCACTACAATAAACGGGAAATGTGAAGTGTTTAGACAATCCGGCATAATGATCAGAATGAAAATGTGTGAGAAAATAGGCTGTGCAGCCTTCAACCACGCCATACTGAAAGGCATCAACTGTAAAGCCAGTTCCAGGTATTTTCTTATAAAATGGATATGTCTTTTTTCTTAATTCTCCTACAGTAGATGACTCTGGGATTTTCTTGTTCCTCCTTTGCAGCCCACCATGAGCTGATTTTGTGAAGACTTTGACTTTACTTAAATTGACTGTTTCAGATTCTGCATTAGTAAGGTGATCTGATCTCTTCTGATGCACTGTTTCCGGTGGTGAATTTGACTTTTTAAGTCTCTTTTTTTGACGCTGTGACCTCTCACTAGAAAGTTCCACAGAAAACTGACTCTCATTTAAATTCTTCGCATCAAATTCTAAATCACTTAAAGATTTTTCTGCTTTCCTCTTGCACTGCCAGGACCTCTTTTTATTAGGACTTTGAACTGGATTTAAGTTTATCCCTTTTAATGCACTTTCCCCTAGCAATTTCTCTTCTTTTCTTTTGGGAGGTATTCCAAAATACACACCTATATCTGTTTGCTTCATTGCTTTTGTAGAAGGATGTCTTGCATTACACTTAGGACCAGAAGGCAATATTTCAAAGACTTAGCAGGAGGTGTACTAGAAAAGTTTTCTGTATTTAAAATTATAGCTTTACCAATTGGTACACCATCTAATTTCTTTCTGCAGAAACATGCTGAGTTAGTATTATTCTTAGCATTCAAGCTCTCATTTGATAATTTTCTATTTTTGCTTTGGGTTGGTTGGGAAGAAAGATACCCTCCTCCCTGGCTTTCAAAAGGTTTCAACGTTAAACTCTTAACTAACAAAAGAGAAACTTGATTGTAAATAGCTGATTCTTCAATTACTTGTTTCTGGTTGTTTGATTGAGATGAGTGAAATTCTGGCTCATCAGGTTTTGCTTTAGTTGCCTGATGAGCAGAAGCAGCAAGCTTCCCTGCCAATGCAGGTGGAAACAACACAAAATCACCACCACGATATGCCAGCAAAGTACTCTCATTATTTTGGGAAATAGGTTGAGACAAATCATTTAGACTACTGAATCTATACAATCCTTCATCATGCTTATCCTGAGTTAAGAAGCTATTCACTTTGGGGCAGCTCTCATCCTGGTCCTTCAGTAAGGGACCATATTGTTTTATAAACAAAGTACAGCTGTCATCTTCTTCAAGACTGCCATCTTTCGAGCTTTCTCTCTTTTCTTTTTCCAAAAAAAAAGTTGTTTTTTTGTTTTGTTTTGTTTTGTTTTTTATAAAGTCAATCAAGGAAGTTTATTTCCTGAGTTCATGACACAGGAAGTCGAATCCTAGCCGCAGCTGCGGTGCTCTCATGAAGAAAGAGTGCTGACTGGCATGATGGGTGGACCAGGAGCTGGAGTCTGTTATCTTAGCATGAGGGCTCATGACCTTGTTTAGTGTTAACAGTGGACCAGGTCCTGAGTGGGCACTGGACACGGCCAGGCCTGTAGGAGCAGCGCACACAGAGCCAGGCACTAGGCTTCTCTGTGAGACCTCGGGAAGTGGGGAGAGCGTCAATAATTTACGGAGGGTCCAGCCACTGGGTCAGATTGAGACAAACCATTGTGTGGTTGGGTTCGGGTCAGCAGGCTGGAGAGGTTTCTGCTTTTTGATCATTATCATTTAGGGCCCCAAGGGAGGGTCTTGGGAGCCACCTGAGCCCCAAAGCTGGGAAATTCCTCAGAGCTGCTCATGTCAGGAGCCTTCTCACTGCTGCTGGCGGTCCAGGGTGCATCCCGCACCACAAAGCCTCTGGATGGCGCCTTGGCCTCCTCGTGTGCCAGGGGTTTCATGTACACCTGCAGCGCCTCACTGTCCACCACATCGGCCAGGTATTCCTCCTCTAGGTTGAGGATGTGGTCAATGGCTTCCTCCACGTTCTCTGGGAGCCCTGTCACAGTGACGCAGTTGGGGTCTGGGGCTCCGCTCTGTGGGAAGCAAATGTCCACCTTGAATTCGTCCATAATTTTGCAAATGACTTTGCCGCGGGCCCTGATGATGTGGGCGTGAACACGGTGGTCCAGCGGGACGTCCTCAGAAACCATCTGCTCAAGTTCACCCACAATTCTCAATATAGCGTCCCTGGCAGCTTCTGTGTTCTTTTCGTACCCTGTGATGGTAATTTGGTCCTGAGGCTGGCTCCCATCATCCTTATCAGGGAACTGGATGTTCACGTCATGCTCCAGCTGGATTTGGGTAATCACTGCCCCCTTTCTCCCAATAATCTTGGGATGGTATTTGGGGTCTACAGTGACACTCAGCTTAAAACTCCTTAAAGCCCGGTTCTCCTGCTTGGCCTGCAGTTCCTTCACACGCTCCAGCAGTCCAGCCTTGGCCTGGTCCAAATTTGCAGCAACGCCTGTGATGGCGATGATGTCGGACTGCAGCTCAGGTGCTGGGACATGTATGTTCACCTCAAACTCATCCATCATCTTGCGGATCCCACTTCTTTTCTGCCCAATGATGTAACGGTGAAGGTCAAAGGGCACCTCTACTTCGATGGTGACAGGAACCAGTGCCTCCAGGGCTTCCTTGGCAGCCTCACACTTTTCTTTCCGGCCGGAGATGATGATGATGTCACACCTCCTTGGAGAGCCAGGGTCAGCGTCTTTGGCCTCTCTCCCCTCCCCAGGTTCATCCTCGTTCTCCTGGACAACTGGCTTTACGCTGTGAACTGGGTTCTCCTCTCTGTCTGGGAATTTAATTTGAACATTGAAATCCCGAGTAATCTGCTGGATTCTGGAACCTTTGGGGCCCATGACAGATAGATGCAATTTCTGGGGTATAGCATATTCTAATGTCACCTGAGCTTCCAGGTCCTCAATGATCTCCTGAATGCGCTTCTTGGCTGCTTCCACACAGTCCTTGGTGCCCTTGAGGGTGGCTGTCGCTCTGTGTGCCAGAGTGTGGGAAGCTGACCATCACACCACCATACTCTTCAGCAGTCTCCGCAAGACCTGGCCTCTTCAGATGACAAAGTGGCGGTGGTGCCTGGGGTCCACCAGCATATAGTCTTCTACCACATTATCCAGGTTTTGGATCAAGGCCTCCAGCTCCTTCTGTGCCTCCTGGACAGCGTCCTCCTTTCCAGTGATAATGATCAGGTCTTGGTCCTTGTCCTCGGCCGCAGGGTAGATGATGCATGCTCCAGTGCTGTCATGCACCTTGTGAATTTTGCTACCCCCCTTGCCGATGAGGAATTTGTGGTATCCTGGCTTGGTGTGGATGTCAACAATGAAGCTCTTGGTTTGCTTCTCTTCCGCCAGATGCAGGAGCTGCTTCTTGGCCTTCTCCACATCCGAGGAGGGGCCCCTGATAACAAGAGTGTCACTTCCTGAGCCTTCCACGGGAAAGTGAATGTGGACTCCGCCACACTCCTCCATGATGGAGCAGATCAGACGGCCCTTGGTGCCAATGAGGGAGTTGTGCAGCTTGGCGGGGTTGGAGACCTCTACCTCGGCTATGTTGGCCAGGTCTTTCTGAATAGACAGAATCCTGCTCCGGTCAGCTTTGCAGTTGGCTCGCTTGCCTGTGATGATAATGGTCTCTGAATTGCTGTTCTCTGCTGGAAGATCAATCTTGGTGTTGCTTTCCTCACGAATCTTTTTAATGTTTGCACCTCCTTTCCCAATTATGTTCTTGTGGAACTGTTTGAAGATGGGAACAGAAATTGAGTAGCTGTTTTCCACCAGATCTGCCACCACCTTCTGCATGTATTTTGTGCATTTTTCCGCCTCATTCTTGGGTCCTCTGAGCTAGACGATGTGACTTTTTTGTGCTGGGTCTGGGAAATTGATGATAACCTCTGGGAGTTTGTCACGAATTTCATGGATCCGTTCACCCTTCTGCCCAATGATTGCGAGATGAAATCTCTGCTCAATGATTAGATCCTTGGTATGCTCATTTTCCATGTGAGACGCAAGCTCCAGCAGCTCTCACTTGGCCTGCTGCACACCCTGCGGGTCCCCCTCGATGCGGATCAAGTTGCTCATCTCACTGTCGGGAGGGATGCACATGGACACCTTGTACTGGTCTTTGATCCTGTTTATGTTGGCGCCACTCTTCCCAATGAGGTGCCTGTGGAACTTGTGGTCGATGTTGATCTCTATGTAGTCCATCGGTTAATCAAATCTTTGACCATGCTTTCTATCTGTTCCTGGGCCACATTGACATCCTCGGTAGGGCCCTCCAGGGTGATCTTGTCTTCGCCCTCTGTGAACTCGATGTGAACCTTTGGCATCTGCTGAGTGATTTTGGCCAGGTTCTGTCCTTTCTTGCCAATGATGAAATGGTGAAGCCAGGAAAGGGCGGCGACAGAGGAGACGGTGAAACTATTGGCTTTGGCATAGACTTCAGTCAATGCCTGACCTAACTTTTCAGGCTTGCCTCGAAGTATTGCAGTCTCTGAGATGCTGTCTGAGGGTGGAATCTCAACTGAAATGCCGGTTTTCCCAAGGATCTCCTGCTAAGAATTGCCCTTGGGCCTGATGACATACTTGTGCTGGGATTTCTTTACTTCCACTGCGATGGTTGTAGTCTTTTTTTTCTTCTCCTCATAAATCTTCTTGATGCGAGCCACAGCCTGAGCCAATTGTTCCTTCTCTTCAGTAAAGACGATCTATGTCTGGTTCACCCTGGGTGGGGGAATGTTGATGCGCGTCCCTGTCTCCTGCATGATCTCGCCAACCAGCCTATTATACAGCCTGGCGATGCCTTTTCTACTTCTAGCCTCTCTACAACACGTTTGTCCTGCTCGGCAGAGATAAGTAAGACTTCATGGCGAGCTTTCTCAGTGCCCTCTTTGGTGCCAGTGATCTTGATCTGATTGCTGGGGTCATCTGGGCGTAGGATCTGGATTTTGGTTGCAGTTTTTAGCTCCAAGTCTTGCAGTTTCTCTCCATTTTTGCCAATAACAGAGTGATGGTGTTCTTTGGGAATAGCAACGGTTGCTGAGGCCTGAGTCTGCAGTCTAGCAACAGTGTCCTTCCGAGCTTTCATGACAGCATCCAGCTTTCCTTACACCATGATGGAGAGGCCTTGGTCTTTGACCAAAGACAGCTGGGACCAGGCAGACATAGAAGCGCTACCTCCACCACCTCTGCCATACCCTCGTCCTTGAGGAGGAGCGCTACGGGGCAGAACGGGAAGCCTGCCGCTCCCGGGCAGAAGAGCTGGGCCAGGGCGTCGTCTTGTTCCAAGGGCTTTCCAACATCGCCTTCAACTGCATGGTCTTGGGCACCCTGTTTATTGGGGGCTCCCTTGTGGCCGGACAGCAGCTGACAGGGGGAGACCTCATGTCCTTCCTGGTGGCCTCCCAGACAGTGCAAAAGTCCATGGCCAACCTCTCCATCCTGTTTGGCCAGGTGGTCCGGGGGCTGAGCTCAGGCTCCCGGGTCTTTGAGTACATGGCCCTGAGCCCCTGCATCCCACTGTCTGGGGGCTGCTGCATCCCCAAAGAGCACCTGCATGGCACTGTCACATTTCACAACGTTTGCTTCAGCTACCCCTGTCACCCCAGCTTCGAGATGCTGAAAGACTTCACCCTGATGCTGCCCCCTGGCAAGATCATGGCCCTCATGGGCCAGTCTGGGGGAGGAAAGACCACCATGGCTTCCCTGCTGGAGCGCTTCTACGACCCCACGGCAAGCGTGGTGATGCTGGATGGGCGGGACCTGCACACCTTTGACCCCTCCTGGCTCCGAGGCCAGGTCATTGGCTTCATTAGCCAGGAGCTGATCCTGTTTGGGACAACCATCATGGAGAACATCCACTTTGGGAAGCCAGGAGCTTCTGATGAAGAGGTGTATGCAGCTGCCCAGGAGGCCAATGCCCACGAGTTCATCACCAGCTTCCCTGAGGGCTACAACACGGTTGTCGGTGAGAGGGGCACTACCCTGTCTGGGGGCCAGAAGCAGCGCCTGGCCATTGCCCGAGCCCTCATCAAGCAGCCCACAGTGCTGATCCTGGACGAAGCCACCAGTGTGCTGGATGCGGAGTCTGAACGGGTTGTGCAGGAGGCCCTGGACCGGGTCAGTGCAGGCCGCACGGTGCTGGTCATTGCTCACCGGCTCAGCATCGTCGTCATGGCCAATGGCTGCGTCTGGGAGGCTGGGACCCATGAAGAGCTCCTGAAGAAGGGCGGGCTGTATGTGGAGCTCATCCGGAGGCAGGCCCTGGATGCCCCAAAGACGGCGGCCCCACCACCCAAGAAGCCAGAAGTCCCCGGAAGCTCCCTGCGCAAGTCCTGAGAAGAGCCCCTGGGGTGTGGTCGCTGCCAAGTGTCGGTGCTAGGGCTGGGGCTCAGCCTGGGGGGAACACACCGGGGACTGAGCCCCCAGGAGGGCCAGCATGTGGAGAGTTGCTGTGGCCGCTCCTGCTTGCAATAAAGCCGGGGCGGGCCGAGTGGCTGGCAGGGGAGGCCCAACCCTCCCTTCCATCTCAAGTCCTGCTGGCCGCCTCCCTCCCACCAGAGTCCACCAGAGTCACTGGGCTGCACACGGGCAGAGGCAGAGTTCCACAAGGTGCCTCCACTCTTCTCTCCCTTTGCCCAGACCCCTCCAGACCTCTCAGAGACGCTTTGCCCAGTCTCCCCACCCCACCCGACAGCCTCAAGTTGGCCAGGCCTGCAGCACCAGGGAGTTTTTAAAAAACAGGGTCTGCCATGGGCTGGGAACTCAAACTTAGGCTCTTCCCACACCCTTGCCAGGACCTTACTTCCCTAGACTGACTGCCTCGCTGGACCCTGGGAGAAGGAGCCTATCCCCTGGCTCACCCCAGAACCCACAATCCCTGTCTTCCAAACAGTTTCCCTCCCTTCTCCCTGAATAGGGAACACAGTCCTGATGTCTAGATTTCAACTCCCTTTCCCACCCCTGAAGGACACAGGCCTAACTGGGCCCAACTCTTGGGTCATGGTAGGAGGGAAGAAGCACCAGTCTGCCTGGCTGTCTTCCGCTGGCCCTGCCCTGTGTGCCTGGAGTCTTTGACCCACTGAGATGGTGGACCCACCTCCTTCTACACCAAGGACACCCAGCTCTGAAGGAGATAGGAGGGGCTGATGCCCACCTGGAGCTCTCAGCTTCCTGCCCACAGTGCTGATGAGTACAGAGCTCAGTGGAGCACCTAGTGCAGAATCCAGTACAGAATCAGTCCAGGAGAGTATGGCTGTGGACAGGCAGTCTCCACAGCAAGGTCTGGGAGGCGCACCTTAAAAGGGGAAGGCAGACAGCCTGAGCGACAGGGGCCTCTGGCCCTGAGACTGTGGATGAGGGCTAGGCTCCAGCTGGCTTCAGAGGGGCCTGGAAAGGCACACAAGTAGGGCCTTAGCTGAGCTGGTGCCCCAGGACCTCATGCTCCTGCCCTGCTGCAGATGCACCGGCCCTCCCCACCTCCTCACTGCCGTCACTTCCTGCTGGGATCCTTCCCCCCTCCAGACACATCAAGGCTGTGGGACTATACGGGGCCCAGCTCCCCTGAGCAGGGGGAGAGGGGGTGCCTGCTCTGTACCTTCACAGTCAGCCAGGCATTCTGGATTTATCTGTGCAAAGAAGGGCAGTCAGTGCCCTCTTTCAGGGGTGGTGGCAGTTCACTGATGGAGCAGCTGGTGCTGGGGAGGCCAGCCTGGAAGAGGCAGCAAGTGGCTCAAGTTTGTGTGCAGGAGCCAGAGTGGGACCCACAGGCTCTTGTGGGTATGGTTTAGAACTAGATGCTACTCTGGGGACAAGCCATCCAAAAACCCCAGGCCCACATCCACCCTGATTTGATATCCCACTTCCTGACAGATCAGAGGCTGGAGGCCCAGAAGCAGAGCCTGGGACTGGCTCCCGGCTGCCTCGCAGCTAAACCCCTCCCTAGGGCAGCCCAGAGCAGGCCTCAGCTTCCTGGCGAGTCCATGAGCCCTGTCTGGGTCCCTGCTTGTTGGCCTGACCCCTCCCTCACCAGGAAGCCAGCCAGCCAAGGCCTGCTTCACCTCCTCAGTCACCAGCCTCAAGCTGCCCAAGACGCCTCTGACACCAGATTCTAAGGCTCTCCTTACATCTGGGCAACTTCTCCAAATCCAGCCCTCCACCAGCCCACTAAAGGAGCAGTTAAGCCCCACGGCTAGTCCAGCTGGAAGAGCTAGATTGCAAGAGCCATGCCATCTGCCTAACCTTGCCTCGGCCTTAGCTCCACAGTGGAGAGCGGGAGCCTAGCAGTGCTTGATGAGGAATGCCTGTTTTGAGAGTGTATGTGGGATAATCTACAGTAAAATACTTGCAAAGCACAGTGCGGTGCTGTGCTGTAACCATGGTACTCAGTCCTTCCAGTGTGTTTATTAATGAAGCACCTGCCATGTGCCACTGAGCCTACTATGGGGAATGAGGACGGCCCCTGCCCCCGTGAAGCTTGTGTCCTATTGGCAGGACAGACAGGTGGCCCAGCAGCTGCAGCATGGTGTGTATACACATTTGGTTGGTAGAACCATGTTTCTACCACTCATAGTCAAAAAAGCCCACCAAAGTCAGCCTGGCGGCCTCAGGTATTTTTTTGAACAAAGATAGAATAGAAATACATTTCAGTAATAAATTAGTGAGCCAGATTTCCCAAGGGCCTACAGGGAATGTCATCTAACTCTCAGATACATGGGGGCAGACAACCATTTAGCCAAATGCAGTGCGACACTGATGAGGACTGCCTGGCTCTCTGCAGGTCAGGGCTTCCTCCCAGAACTGCACCTCATCCCCAGGGCCATGGGTCAGCACAACGTTCTCATCCCACTGCAGGTCAGCTGGCACTACTTCGCAAACAGTAACTGCCTTCTGGAGGTCCCTCCCCAGCCTCTGGGAACCTGCCCCGCCTCCAACCTATCACCTTCTCCCCTGGATCATTGGAAGCGTCTTAGGTCAGATAATGCTCTGGCCCTGCCCTCTCCAGGCTCACTGTCTCCCACCATGCAGGCTCAGGGCATGACAACTCTAGAAAAGCCCCATGCGAAGCAGATCTGCTCCCACATTACTGGTGGGAGTGCAAAATGGCATGACTCCTGTGGGGGAAACTGTTATCTATCAGATGAAAAAAAAATTTTTTTTTTTGGTGGTTACTTTACACATTTATTTAACACATATAAAACCCAATAGGAAAACATTTTCCTTTTTTTTTCATAAAAACAAATAGCTTTCACTGGTAAAAACTGAACTAAAATCATTTTATGTATGGAAGAGAACAAATCTAAATTACTTCCATTTTGAAAAAACAAACACTAGCTTATTCCTTTCTATTCATTCAAGTCGTGGGCTCCATTATTTGGATGATACTCTACTATTTAGTCTAAAAGACAGAAGAAGAAACATTTCCATCTAATAAGTTTGGACAATGCAAAAACTGAAAGTACATAGTGTTTAACATAAGGCACATTTCGAAAAGAAAAATACTACATAAGAAATGATAAAATTACATTTGTCTTGAGTAAAGTAAAAAGGCTTACGGTGTAAGAACATTAAGTAGTTGCAGGTAAACTCATATAATTCTATCCTACTGCTATTAGTAACCTCTTCAAGAATTAAGAGCAATTTTTTTTTTTTTAACAACAGAATAGTTTTTCTTCTTGGTAGTGACATTAAGTAACAACAGTGGAGGGAGAAATTGGTTGCTTCAAGCTCTCAAATGAATCAGTTATTGCAAGGTAAATACCTCATAGAGGTCAGTGTTTTAAGAAGCCAGTATGAAGAAATATGTTATTTATAAGTTGGCCAAGTCTGGAAGTCTTCAAGTTTTATAATTAATTCTAATAGGGAATCAAATGAAAAATATTGACATACAAACAAATGTTAGGCTTAACAAACTGCTACAGTTTTTGATAGTTTAGAAAAGAAATAGCAAAGTGCCTAAGTTTCTATGTATGTTTTTTTAAAAGATACACTTGAAGAAATACACATTGTACACTGTATACAGTAGCCCAGTTCAGCAGCAAGTATCTTCCAAAGCACAAGTAACACCTCCACTAGTGCCTATCATTGGTAACTCCAGTATTACACAGCTAATAGGATCCATGTCAGCCTATAATTTCTATTTAATGATTATCTTGCTTAGAATTAGATGCTTTACTTGAAGATACTGCTGCCAAAAGTCCACTTGCAATTTCCCGTCTGATTTCCCCAACGATAGACCCTAATCTTCCATATGACTTGCTGCAACTCATCTTGCTCCACATTTTTATGCATTTCCTCAGCAGCTGGCATTACTGGGAGTTTTCCATGCCCTTCTTCCACTTCAGATTTAGGTCCTATAACCACTGGGGCTTCTTCAGCTGCATCAACTTCCTCAGAACTTCCCAAATCTGGAGGTGTCTGTACAGAGCCTGTTCTAGAAGGAGCCGTTGGCATTAGAGCCACCGATGCTCGGAATTCTTTCTTCCTCGCCACTAATGGGGTTTTGGATTTGCCCACTGAAGCAGTGGAAGGTACTCCAGTTTTTTTATTAGCATGAGAGGGACCAGAACATACAGATGATGATTCTGATGTTGCTTGGGAAAAAAACAGATTCTGAGCTTTCTCCAAGAGGAATTTCAAATCCCATTTCTCCAAGTCCTAGGCCCAATTCAGACTTCAGGCATGACTGTTCCTGTATCAGTTCGGTGACTAGTTCCATTACATTTGATGGAGAAGGGCATGACAAGTTATCAGCGCTTCTACTGCCACACATTCCCATGAGTGCGGAGGAGCGGAAGGGTGAAGGCATGCGCACAGCACGAAGCTGCTCCTGCAGGCCCAGCAGGCACTCCTCCAGCTGCAGTTCCAGGTCCTGAAGTTCTATTCGGACGGAATTTCTCAAGCCCTGGAGCTGATCAAATTCAAACCTTTCCTCCTCAGTCATGTGATGATAAACCATGCTCTGCTGACACAGCATTGCCAATTCTAAATCCATCATTTGTGTTCTAAACAAATTCAGGCTTCACTTCATTACCTGGAGCTCCTGAAAAGTATTTTCATAAAGAGGTAGAACAGATGATTTCTGAGTACTATATGGAGCAGCAGCAAGATCAGGTCCTCTCATCCTAGGGTACTGTGAAAGATTCTGCAGTGAGTTTCTAATACCGTGTAATACTCTACGCAACTGCATTTCTATGGCTGAAGGAGGATCCACAGAGCACACTCAGTGAGGGTAGGTGGCATGTCTATGTGAGTAAGGACACCCAAAAGGGGAAGCGAAGGCACTACAGGTAACCCCTGATATGTTGGGCACACTGTGAGTGCTCAGAGTTCTTGTGTGCTCACACAGGGGCCTTTCTTGCCACTCAGAGTGGATGGAGAGAAGGGAGCAGGTGGACTGAGACATTGGTGCTGGAGCAAGCCGTGAACAGGTAGGAGTCCTTCCATGATGGCAGTCCTCCATGCCCGGTGCCTCACTCTGGGGGGCTTCTTCTTTCTTCACAGATGATGGAGAGATGAAAATGGTCGATTTAACTAAAGAGATATGATTCCCAAGCAAGGAGATGGTTTATTTCAGGAAGGGACTACTATCTTTGTTTCAAAGTTAAACAGTAAAAATTCCTCCCATAGTTAGGTTGGCCTGTGCCCAGGAATGAGCAAGTGCAGCTTGGAGGTTAGAAGCAAGATGGAGTCAGTTAGGTCAGATTTGTCGTAATTTTTATAAAGGAAGTTTCAGATCCTACTACTGTTTATTTTAATCCTAGAGTGTCAGAGCCAGAAGAGACCCTGCAGGACAAGTCTCTTGTGGTTTCTGAATAATGATCCTCAGACACATACTGTGATAAAGTTTTCACCCCTATTCTACAAAATGAGGACAATATGGAAAATGTAATCAGGTTTTTTATAATTTCATAAAATAAAATAGATTCTACTCCATTCTTCTACAAGTATGATCTCCCTATAATGTTGATACTAAAAATTGTTTTGTGAAAAGATGCTGATAAATAGAGGATAGTTGCTTCAATGCTCTTACATGGACATTAAAATTAAAAATTAGAAATCTTGCCCAGGCCTGGTGGCTCACACTTGTAATCCCAGTGCTTTAGGAGGCTGAGGCGGGTGGATCGCTTGAGGTCAGGAGTTCGAGATCAGCCTGGCCAACATAGTAAAACTTCATCTCTACTAAAAATACAAAATATTAGCTGGGTATGGTAGTACACACTTGTAGTCCCAGATACTTGGGAGGCTGGGGCAGGAGAATTGCTTGAGCCTGGGAGTCAGAGGTTGTAGTGAGCCAAGATCGTGCCATTGCATTCCAGCCTGGGCTATGCAGTGAGACTGTTTCAAAAAATAAAAACTAGAAATCTCAGGTTTATTTTTTCACGTTTTATGACCTGCGAAATACAAAAGCCTGGGAACCACTGAATAGTCAAATCTCTCCTCTCATAATAGAAACAGTTAAGGCTCAGAGGTAGAGAAATGAGTGGTCCAAGAAAAAAGCCCAGTTTGTTCAGACACTACTGATGGTGGCTATGTGCAGGACATTCCTTCAGCTGTCCCTTTTCTGCCTTTGCCTTTTCTTTAAGCATGTTCAACTCCACATCAGCACCCTCCAGGCAAACCAGATCCTGTCCAGAGAAGCCTTTTTTAATCGTCTAGCTCCTATTCTCCCAAATCGTCTAGATCCTATTCTCCCAAAGCACCACAAAGTTATTGGCATTTGCTACTATTTCTCCATCCTATTGCTACTTTCTCCACCTCAATACCAATCTCTTAGCCCCACCCATTGCCTACTTCTGAGCTTTGTCTTTTACTTCAAAAATAATTGTCCTTTGGAGAAATTACTGTTTCAAAGCAATAATTATGGATTTTATTATACATTTAATTATCTATTATAATGTTTGTGGATGTCACTGCTTCTCCACCAAGATTATGAACACCTAAAGAACAATAGTTGTGTTTTATCTTCCTTCTAGTACCTAGTACACTCCCACAGTCTTAGGTACTCCAATATTCGTATCATAATGAAAAATTGGCACATTCTTTGCAGGGTGAGTGCTTTAATATTTCAAAAACTATAGAAATTTCTTTATTGTGGTTCTTAGTTTGCAAATGACAGACAGGAACCAGGGGACTGGGTTCAGATGGGAGCAAGGAGGAAGCCAAGAAAACCATTTATTCTTGGGGCTCTGGTCAGTTTTACTTCTAAATGGGAAGGGAAGAAAATGACATGAAGTTGAGGCAATAGGAAGAAGAAATGAAGAATCCCTGAGTGAGGACAGGAGTCTTGGAATGACTTCATGGTGCACCCTCACGCTGTTTCATCCCAGGTGGCATCCTGTCATCCAGTAGGAGAGTGGCCGGCCTGAACAGTGCAACCTCCATTTTGCCCTGTAGAGAAAAAAGACATGGTTCTTGCCTAAAACTCAGTAACTCCTCCACCCACATGACCCAGTTCTTGGTAAGTCTCCCATGTAGAGCAATGCCCAGAATCCCCTTCATTGCTAGCTCTCTGGTCTGTCCTCCACTGGCCCCTCTGATGAATTCTGTAAAACTCTCATCCCTGGTGTTTGCCTGCTTCCCTGGATCAACATTTCCACTTTTTATTTATTTATTTATTTTTAAGATGGAATTTCACTCTATCACCAGGCTGGAGTGCAATGGCGGGATCTCAGCTCACTGCAACCTCCGTCTCCCGGGTTCAAGCGATTCTCCTGCCTCAGCCTCCTGAGTAGCTGGGACTACAGGCACGCACCACCACGCCCAGCTAATTTTTGTATTTTGAGTAGAGACAGGGTTACACTATGTTGGCCAGTATGGTCTCTGTCTTTTGACCTCGAGATCCGCCCGCCTCAGCTTCCCAAAGTGCTGGGACTAGAGGCGTGGGCCACCACGCCCGGCTGTCTCCACATTTTTAAATCCTCATCGCTTCTTGAAGGGGTGAGCACTGTTTTACAGGGCTGAGAGTTACTTGTTAAAAAAAAAAAGTCCCAGATGCAACCACTGATTCTCCCTCCAGAAGGGATTAGCATAATCATTATTGCCCATTCTTTTCTGCTGTGTTTTTAGTATGCAAGGGATTTGACTCCTACTAGGTACTGCCTCACAGTCGCCTGTAGGGGCAGCCATATGTGTTATATATCTAGTTTGAAGCTCAAAAAAGGTGACTATCTGAATGTCCATCGTTGTCAAGCTTACAGCTTTGTGGGTGTCTACCCAGCTGATGAGCGCCACTTTTTTTTTTAGATGGAGTCTCGCACTGTTGCCCGGGCTGGGATGCAATCTCAGCTCACTGCAACCTCCGCCTCCGGGTTGAAGCAATTCTCCTGCCCCAGCCTCCCAAGTAGCTGGGACTACGGCACCTGCCATCACTCCCAGCTAATATTTGTATTATTAGTAGAGACAGGGTTTCACCATATTGGTCCGGCTTGTCTTGAACTCCTGACCTTGTGAGCCACCCACCTTGGCCACCCAAAGTGCTGGGATTACAGGTGTAAGCCATGCCACAGAATTTTAAATAAAAAATGTTGTCAATTATGGTCACAGGGCCCCTGCGGCAGCCATAATTATATTGCTTAACTCCTCCCATCCCTACAATTGATTGGACCAAGGGGAACATGTGGTCCAAGTGGAACCAATCAGATTCTCTACTCCAGAAACTTGGACTGAGACTGAGCCTAGCGAGTCTGTGGTTGCTGAGGACTTTAGCCCACTACCTTTACAGCACCCTTTAGATGGTGGAGCAGAGAAAGTTAGTCTGCAGAGAGAGTAGTGAAACAAATGCACCAAGAGAAGCTGAAACCTGCCACAAAAAGCTTGCTGACAGTTTCCAGCCCTGGTTCCATGCTCTTCCTGAGGCCCAGCTGCAGCCCTTGAGTGGGTTGCAGACCTTCTAATTTCCCACAGCTAGCTCAAGTTGTTTTCTGTTACTGCAACCAGAAGAGTTTTAATAGAGTATCAGAGAAGAACCAGATCCCACATCTTCTAACTCAGAGTTCCAAGCCCGTCCTCTATCCCTCATCTTTCTAGACACTGCAAGGGCGTTCCGGTAAGTCCTTGCCTGCTGCCCTTTTCTCTGTCACGCCCTCCTTTGTGGGGCTCTGCCCGTTAACTGAGCCCCACCGTGTCCTCCTCACCAGTTGTTCATCCCTCCTGCTCCAGACACAATCCTTTTTGCGCAGTGGATGCCTGCGAGAAGGTTGGGATTCAGCAGATCTGAAAGGGAGGAAGAGAAAACCTGTTAGTACAGAAGACAGTGTCAAAGATGGAGCCAGACACTGTCCCTCCCTGCACAGGCCCATGCCAACCAGGGGCTTCCAGCTGAGGCAAAGCCTCTCTCCCAGTGGCCCATTTAGACATCCCTACAATGGCTGCTAGAGGTTGGAGGTGACAGGGGCTGTGGGCAGAAGGAGCAAGAGGCCTGAGATTTGAGCCTGTTCACTGCTATTCTTCCTAACCTGAGTAGGTGGTGGTTCACCCAAAGTTTGTGGGAGGCTTCTAGGGAGAGGAAATGCCAAAACACCATAGAGCATGTCCTGCCTAGTGAGCAGGGGTCTTCAGGTGAGGAGCCAGGGACATCAGTCAGTGTGCGAAGGTGGAGTTGAGGGGCAGAATCGTGGGCCCTGTCGAGCCTCCTGGATCAGCTCTGAGGTAGGGAGTTTGCACGTGGCCTTTGGTCAGACCATTAGCTGAGGATGGTGCTCTGGAATGGTTAAGAGCCTGCGAGGCTGCCAGTCTGGCATTCAGTGCTGGTTCTCTTTTTGAGCTGTTTTGTATAGTGGGGATCATAAATGGTTTCTACTGAATGAAAGTTGGATGAAATGAGCTAAGCGTGTAAAGGCTTAGTGTGTAATATGTTCTCAATAAACTGGCTGCTGCAGCTGTTCTACTACCAGCTGTGTACAGAGCCTTACTGGATCCTCCTCAAGGCCTCTATAGAATCGAACTGGATGGGCATTAGGGAGACCAGTCCAACCCTCTGCTCAGTAAAGGGATTCCCTGATTTTTTTGAACCATATCTCTGGGGCCATTCCCAGGCTGTGGGTGGGAAGAGAAGTTCTGTGAGCAGAGCCTGGTCTCCTCTCTCACCTCTCCCACCCTGGGGCCCTGGCCAGACCTTGACAGTCCACATGGCAAAGGTTTTCTGAGTGACTCTTATGATCATTGCACCAGTAGTGGCTGTTGATCTGGAAGAGGCCATAGTCAAAGCTGCCATCTGCATTTTCATTGATCTTTGATATGTTGAACTTGCTTTCCACAAAAGCCAGGCACAGCCCTTAGGATAGGGAGAAGATGGTCAGGATTTAGAGGAGACCAAGCTGAGTGAGAAGGGAGATGGAGGAGAAAGGGAGGCAAGGAATCAGACAAAATGAACAAAGCCCGGGAGGCAACATAGGTCTGGAGGTCTGGAAACCTCCATTGACATCCCCTCTCATCCTTTGGTCCATCCACCCACTCATCAGTACAACCACTCATCTGTCCATCTATTCATGCTTCTTGCACTTACTGAGCACCTACTGTGTGCCAGGAACTGTGGAAAGCCTAATGAGGGACATTTCAGTTGGGTCAAACACAGACGCTGCCTTCAAGGGGCCTATATTACAAGAATAAAAATATGTACCTAAAAAACCCACAAAGCAAGATAAAAGGTCAAAAGTGTTGCAAGACAGGTGCACACAAATCCTGGGCAAAAGGGAGCCATCCCACCATGCAGGAGAATAAAGGCTTTGCACTGGTTGTCCCCTCCGCCTGGAATGTTCTTCCCACAGACATTTGAGTGACCAGGTCCTTCTTCATTTCATTTGGTGCTGCTCAATGTCACTTCTTCAGAGAGGCCTTCCCTGACTTCCTCATCTAAACAGTGTCGCCATCGCTCCCCCTGCTTTATTCTTTTTCATAGCATTGATCACCACCAGGCAGTACTTTCTTTATGAGTGTGTTTGTTGCTGCTCTATTCCCCTAGGATGTGAACACTATGAGGGAAGAGAATTTGTTTATCTCTACATCCCCTGCATCGAAAACAGTTCATGGTACATAGCAAGTGCTCAGATAATAACTGTTGAATGATTATGGCATGTTGGGAAAGGCTTCTTGAAGGGAGCTGCTTTTTGAACTTGGCTTTGAAAGATGAACAGGAGAGAAAGAAGCTGGCCATGTAGGACATGACTAGGAAAGGAGGAAATTTGGCAGGGGAGGGGCTGATGGCACTCACAGTGACTCAGGGAGTAGCCCTCAAACCCATCCAGGTCCTCCTGCTGCAGCACCTGGGCCAAGTCACAGCGACTGATGAGGCTGGCCTGATTTAGGGCAAGGAAGCTGCTGACCACGTAGATGAGTAGCACCTTTGTCATCGTCGGAGGGGAGGAGATGCAGCTGAAGGCTGATGGTTCTTAGGGTCTCGCAGACTTTCTGCTGATCTTCTCTGAGAGCCTGGGGAATCTGGGGGCAGCAGCCAGATTTCCTTACTCACTCATTGCTCCAACCTGGCGTTTCCAATCTCTTTTCTCTTGTTTAGAATTTTATAGATTTTTTTTATCATGGAAAATTAAACATTTACAAAAGAAGAGAGAATAGTATCATGAACCTCCATATACCCACTTCTGAGCTTCAACATTTAGAAACCAAGGCCAATCTTTCTTTGTTGTTCGTTTTTGTTTTTTTTTATTTTTTATTTTTTAGAGACGGGGAGTCTCACTATGTTGACCAGGCTGGTCTTGAACTCCTGGCCTCAAGTGGTCTTCCCATCTCAGCCTCCCAAATTGCTGGGCTTATAGGCATGAAGCACCACACCTGGCCAATCTTATTTCATCTGTAGGTCCTCTTATACGGGCGCCCAGCTATGGGTAGTATTTGAGTATAAGGATGGGGAGTGAGGCTAGCAAAAGAGATTACTGAAGACCATCTTCACCAGCATTTGTGTGTGTGTGTATCTGAGCATGTACTTTTAGAAGGAGAGCCAGGACACTGGGTGTTAATCTCCCCACCACCCCATCTCCCAGACACATGACACATGATTTTTCCCAAGGGCATACCTTGCCTGGTACAATTCTTGGTGGGCTGGCTGTAGACATACCTTCACTTTCACATTGTGTGTGTGCCTGTTTGTGTGTTGAACAGCAAGGGCCCCAGCAAGGGCTTTCAAATCCTGGGCTGCTATGTGACCTTGGGCAACATACTCAACCTTTCTGGGCCTCATTTGTAAAATGAAGATAGGCTAATACCTACCTAGTAGTGTTGTTGTGATGATTAAATGAAATAATGCCCAGATCTTGGTTCAGATTCCACATAAAAGGGAATCGGGACTCTAGGAAATATGGCTGATTCCCAGGCTGGAGCAGGAAAGAGATGTCTGAATCATCTTGTTGTACCAGAAATTTAAAAAGTGCTCAATCACTCTTCGGCCTTTTGCCTAAGATGAAGTGCAAAAAGCGTTGCTCAAAATATAGAATGAGGCATGTCAAATGGACCCAAGAGCTAGCTGAAAGGGACACGGAATGGCCAGATCTGGAACAATATTTTTTGGTAAAAGCTTTATTGATATGTCATTCATGTGTCACATAATTAGTTCAGTTAAAGTGTGCAATTCAGTGGTTTTCAGTATATTTGCAGAGTTGAGCAACTACTAGCTCACTTGATTTTAGAATATTTTCATCAATCCAAAACAAAACCCTGCACCCATTTAGCAATCACTGCTCATCCCCCTCCTGGCAACCACTAATCTATTTTCTGTCTCTATGGATTTGCCTATTCTGGACATTTCATATACATGGAGTTACATAAAATATGGCATTTTGTATCTGGATTCTTTCACTTAGCATAATGTTTTCAAGGTTCATTCAGGTTGGAGCACATAATGATACTTCATTCCTTTCTATGGTTGAATAATTTTCCATTGTGTGAATAGACCATACTTTATCCATTCATCAGTTGATGGACATTTGGGTTGTTTCTGTTTTTGGCTATCATGAATAATGCTGCTACGAACATTCACATACTAGTTTTTGTGTGGATATATGTTTTTATTTCTTTAGAGAAGAATTGCTGGGTCATAGGGTAACCTAGGCTTAAGCTTTTGAGGCCTACAGGATTTCTTTGTTTTTTATTTCTTTATTTTTGGGCCTACAAGGTTTCTAAAGTGGCTGCACCATTTTGCATTCCCATCAGCAGTGTATGAAGGTTCCAATTTCTCTATATCCTCACCAACACTTGTTATTATCTGTCTTCTTGACCAAAGGTATTGTAATGGGTATGAACTGGTATCCCCCTGTGGTTTTGATTTTTGTTTTCCAGATGGCTACAGATGTTGATCATCTTTTTATATGCTTATTGGCCATTGTATATCTTTGGGAAAATGTCTATTCAGAAGCTTTGCCAAATTTCAAATTGAGTTGTCTTTTTATTACTGAGTGGGAAGAGTTCTTTATCTATTCTGGATACTAGACCAGTATCAGATATATGGCAGATATTTTTTCCCATTCTGTGGGTTGCCTTTCACTTTCTTGGTGGTATTCTTTGAAGCCCCAAAGTTTTAAATTTTGATGATGTGCAATTTATTTTTTCTTTTGTTGCATGTACTTTGGTGTCATGTCTGAAAAGCCATTGCATAATGGTTTCCAAGGTAATCTGGGATAATTAGACCATCAAAATAAATGACAGTAACAGATTGTACATTAAATGCAATAGGAATCCATGAGCCCATAGTAATAATACATTGACAAAAAGATGCATAGTGTGGAGCTGAAGCACAGTCCTCTTCCTGACAATAAAAGGCTAACTGATAAATGTGGAGAAAGTTATGGAGTTGAAAATTAATCACCATTTTGCCACCATCATAGATTAGTTTGAGAAAGAATCACTATTGCATGCTTAATCTGAGGAGGTGGGAAGCCTGCTGAAGAACTGGATATGTCCATGATCTTATAGGGTCTCCCCACAGATTGCTTGTTAGTTGCACAGAAAGAAAAAACAAAACAATATACAGTAAATAACCAGATAGTATTTTGACCTTGCAATCAAATTAACATCTCCAGTGAGGGACAGAGGGACATTCTGTGCCTCCAGATGTGATTCCCAAGGAGGACACATCGCTTATGTAGTATTCTGTCCAAGGATGCAGAACCTGTGTCTAATCCTGAGGAAATATCAAAGTCAAACTCACTGAAACTCTGTAAGATAACTGGCCTGTATTCTTTAAAATGACCAATGCCATGAAAACTGAAAGACTAGCCAGGCATGGCAGCTCATGCCTGTAATCCAGCACTTTGGGAGGCTGAGGTGGGCAAATCACGAGGTCAGGAGCTTGAGACCAGCCTGGCCAACATGGTGAAACACTGTCTCTACTAAAAATACAAAAAATTGCTGGGTGTGGTGGATCACACCTGTAATCCCAGCACTTTGGGAGGCCGAAGTGGGCACATCACTTTAGGTCAGGAGTTTGAGACCAGCCTTGCCAACATGGCAAAACCTCATCTCTACTAAAAATATAAAAATTAGCTGGGCATGGTGGTGGGCGCCTGTAATCCCAGCTACTCAGGAGGCTGAGGCACGAGAATAGCCTCAACCTGGGAGGCAGAGGTTGCAGTGAGCTGAAATTGCGCCAATGCACTCCAGCCTGGGCGACAGAGTGGGACCCTGTCTCAAAAAACAAAACAAAACAAAACAAAAGAAAAAAAAATTGGCCAGATGTGGTGGTGGGTGCCTGTAATCCTAGTTACTTAGGAGGTTGAGGAAGGAGACTAGCTTGAACCTGGGAGGTGGAGGTTGCTGTGAGTTGAGATTGCACCACTGCAGTCCGGCCCAGGTGACAGAATGAGACTTGGTCTCAAAACAAAACAAAACAAAACAAAACAAAAAAACTTTCTATAAATCTGAAAATCTGGCACTGCTTCTGTCACTGAGGGAAGGTGTGTTTTTCTCCTTAAGCTAGGTGTATGTTGCTGACAGGGCAGAGGCCCAAGTTCTTCCATCCACCACCTTCAAGTGTCTGGTGGCTTCTGCTTGGACAAGATGACTACCTGGTGGGCTTGTTTCTTCTCTGGTCTTGATATAGGAGGCAGAGAGAAATTACTTAGGTAGATAGTTAGGGTAAAGTGAGTCCCCAGCAGAAAACTTTCCTTGTAACAAAAACCAGCTCAAATATAGCTCTCTTTCTAACTTCATGCAGTTCATGGAAATCACTTTTCTTCTAAAAACAAGCAGCCTGAAATAGTAGACAGTAAAATAGATAAGACAGCTCAGGCTCAGAAGGATGTGGGAGAAGTCTCCTGTGTAATCACCAAACTTTACACTTATACATTGGGCCCGGTAAAACAGTGGGCCTTAATAAGCACATTCCTTTTTATTCTTTTTTTTTTTTTTTTTTTTTTTTTTTTTTTTTTTTTTTTTTTTTTTGAATCGGAGTCTCACTCTGTTGCCCAGGCTGGAGTGCAATGGCATGAACTTGGCTCACTGTAATCTCCACCTCCCGGGTTCAAGCGATTCTCCTGTCTCAGCCTCCCATGTAGGTGGGATTACAGGTGCTCAACACCACATCCAGCTAATTTTGCGTTTTTAGTAGAGATGGGGTTACACCATATTGTTCAGGCTGGTCCTGAACTCCCAACCTCAGGTGATCTGCCCACCTCAGCCTCCCAAAGTTTGGGGATTACAGGCATGAGCCACTGTGCCCAGCCCCACATTCCTTTTCCTTTAGGCATACTAAGATAGGGCAGCTAAAAGCAGACTCGAGGGGTGTGCCTGCAGCTGCAAGAAGATGTATGTGAACAGACACAGAAACTCTCCCTCCCAGATAAGCAAGACAAAGAGACACAGACTAAAAGTTGGCCTATGTGGTCCAGGAATGGGGTGAGAGCCTATTAAAAACTCTGC